TAAATTTATTTGGAATTTGGTGAGGGGTCAATTTAAGAATTAGTATTTTTATAGCTTTGTCATTCGGATGATACTTTGAAAATTATTAGTTAATAATTATTAATTTTGATCTAAGCAAAAATACGTACAAATTAGTAGTCTTTTGCAAATATCAAATTGCAATAAAATTCAAAAAGACAATACCTGGCTTCGTTCTAAGAAAGTTTTAATAAAGTTTATTGTTTAATAGCAAAACCTATTACTTGGTCAAGTTATGATAAAGTAACAGAAGTCATATTTATCATTTGTTATCATCAAAAATGATTGATATTTATCATTTGACTGATCTTATTTATTATTTAAAATTATAGGTTGAACGGAGAATACGTCCGTTACTATCAGTATTATCAAGTGCACATGAATATGATGAACGTTTTACGTTGAGTGGTCAATTATGGACTGATTCTGAAGAAGACCTTGTCACGCGATGGTCGTTCTCTGCTTCTGCATTATACGCCTTGACCGTTATCACATCCACTGGTCTATTTTTTCATATTATCACAATTTTTCTAAATTCCGAATTACTTCATTTCATCAACTTTTTTAGTATTTATTGATTTTTTAAAAGAAATATTAATAATAAAAAAAGTAATAAATAATAAAGTTTTTTATAACAATAAAATTATAGCAGAATTTTTCAATATATATTGCTATTTTTACCATTGGAAAATGCTATCCAATATCATATAATTATATGCGTGATAATTTATTATAATAAAAATTGAATATTCATTTACTTGTTTAATAAAATATTATCATTTCTATACCATAAACACATTGCCAAACTAGTATAAACTAGTATGAACTAGTATGAACTAGTACGAACTAGATAAACTAGTATGGCTTTTTTAGACGACTTTTTAGTTCATGTTGTGAACTAGAATTTATCATCTCATTCTCTGGTTTTGATCTACACGAAATGAAATTCAGTTTTTTCTTACGATATATACTAGTAGCAAGAATATTTTTTAATACTAATAATATCAATATGTGCCTTTAAGTAAGTAATCATTAAAAATAATTAAAAATCTCACTGATAAAACGTGAATGAAAATTGCGAGAAAAGTGATAATTTTTTGTTTTTGAAATAGTAAAAACTTACAAAATTTTGCTTTTTACAATTTTTTAAAATTTATTGCTAAAATTTTGAGTATAATTTTTTGCAAGAAATTAATTATATATATAAATATATTTCAGGATATGATCATGTCACGCCAAGCACTGATCCAGGACGTTTATTTACAATATTTTTCGGCCTCGTTGGTATACCTCTTATGTTTATCACTGCCGCTGATATTGGTAAATTTTTGTCTGAAATAGTTATCCGATCGTATGGTAAATTATTAGAACTGATAGAATGGATTGGTTCTTCAATTGATACCATTCGTGATTACCTCAGAGATGAAGATAATGATTCTACTGATTCCAGGTATAGTTACAATTCAAGTTTTTACAAATATCATTATAACTATGACAATTTTTAAATAATATCTCTTACAACTATAAACTACTTTGTAATGAAAGTTTTCAAAAGTTGATTTGTTTTATCATTGAAGTATAGCAAAGTATGTTTTAATTTTTACAATTTAAAATACATACATGAAATAAAACTTTAAAATTTAATTCAAATTGTTTTTAGTATTGCATTGGATTTTTCCTGCTATGAAAATATCATTTGTATTATA